ATCTGTGATATAGTATAGGAGTCAGGGCTGAAATCCGCTTACAGCTAGCTGGTACTTGATAAAGAATCCGCGGTTTTCGCATGTCTTCATCTAAAACTACATCTAGTATCAGCAAGAAAGAGTGACTAAAGTAGAAAATAAACTTTGAAAATGTAATCAGATCTGCAGAAGAACTTGAAAAATTTTCAAGTCCATGGGCTCTTACACTTGTCGAAGAAACAATTATTGATAAATTTTCTTTGACTTCATACGCATCAACTGTACACCAAGCCGCAGTATCCCTCCTCAGTCCCCTGTCTTGTATAAATTGCCGCCCTGAGTCGCCGTCTACTCCGTCGCGGCAATGTTTATGCTAGCAATAAAATATCAACGATGAAAACGATGAAAGTTTCTCTGGRTATAAAAGCTGATCAGCATGATTAATATATGGAATCTTTGGGGTTAGCCAATCCCAAGTATCTGTATACTATTTATAGTGATGTTCACCGAAAATATGAGCCATCGCTTCAATCTGGTAAGGTATCAAAAACGATAAAAATCACGCATTTTTAAAACTTTGCACTGAATCGGAAAAAGTGTTGACCTAATGATGTCTCACTGTTTTCCTTTTTGTTTTTATTTTGTTTTTGATTTTCTTATAGTTTTTTCTTGGTTCCTTTTTGTGACATGACAAAGCGACCACAACATTTAAAAGACTTAAAAGATTTCATCAGGGTTCTTTATTGATATCCTCGACGAGAAGCACTCCCGACGTTTCTCGAACCGCACTAAATCAACACAAACCCTGTGTTGGTAGCATAGGTACTTACGGTTTTCCAAAATGGTTTCCCGATCATCTCAAAAAAACTTTCAAAGCTCTTGAAAATACTAATTATTCCAATGAAGYCTTATCCTGCGGAAAAACCTGATCCTGGAGCTCGAAAACAATTTCAGACAGAATCTGAAATCATGATGATTTTTACGTGACTAACAACTTCTTTGCATCTTCATCTTGTCTTGCTATGAAATTCTATTCCATTGATAGAACGTTGCCGACACATTTCAGAATCAAATATTGTCGATGCGGCAAATTCAGTTGTGCCGTGGGAGTTTTAACCTGCCGATTAATTAAATACAAAGTCCTTTTATAGAATGGCGCCTCGCTATCAAATGTATTTTTTTATTTTCTTGTGTGTCTGTTAGCTTTAGGTTTCCTTGTTAGTTTAATTATTTTTTGTACACTGAAGGTGTGCAACAAATGCGTGGCTGCTGCAATTTTTCTATCGATATCAAAGAAGTACTCTTCATAATCATATTATCGCGTAAAATATAATAGATTTAAAAAACGCCATCATTATTGTCATCTCAAGTGAAAACTGGAAWTAAAATCCAGTAAATTGACAGGCGCTAATAAGGAATGTGTAGACGGAGACACGAACATACACAAAGCGCCATTATAGGGGAAGCAACTAGATCCGTTTTGAAAATACCAAGCTTTCTCTCGCTTTCTCTGTCATTCCATTTCGACAACGTGAGACATTGACAATGAAAAAAAGATTTAAAAATTGAACAAAACGGTAGTGACAATTTGTTCCATTTTCCGTGTCATCTTCCTTTCGCTATCGTACATATGTTATTCAAATCTAGAGATTTATCAAATAAAACTAGTTTACTTACATAGTTAAGAGGTTTATATAAGTAGTCATGGCAACCTAAACAGCCAGGAATGAGAAAATAAACTCTTTAGCTATTGCAGGCTTTCTCCGCGTACTATAAAGCGACAAATACGAAATACATAAAAATGCAAAACGTCAATTTAAAAAATGTTTCAGTTACAAGGTTTTGGCCCGATCCTTGAAATATGCATGGAACGATCCAAAACAAAAGCGTTAATAAAAAATATAGGAAAACAGCGGGAGCTAATTTAATATTAGTCGCTTTTCTTCACAATGAAATAATCCAAAAAATCGTTGAATATATGCTTGTTATAATTAAAGAACACTTTACTATTTGTAACATGCATTATTTATCGTATGATTTTTGGAATATAATGAAGGTTTTATTACTAATGCATATGTCAGCTGTTGAAACAGCTGCAAAGAGCGACCCACCGGGGGGAATATATCTCTCTATATATACATATATATGCTTTTTAAAAGAGAGCTTTCAACTAGGGTAATGGTTATTATCGCGTACAAAATATCATCATTCAAAAAAATATGGAAACAGATTTATAAAGTATTGATCTACTTTCCGACWCAGAAACYGAAAGAGCTAGCTAGCGGTCAGACTCTTCAGCAAATTTTTGGCTCACTTGAAGTTGAGCTTTTAGATTCTTAAGTGAGTTTATTTYATAAGTTGCGATTTAAAACTGGCCTAAGCCGTGTTTCACCTGCTTTTTAAGATATTCCCGTCGATAAGAGCTAGATTTATTRTAGTCGTTTTTTGTGTCAATTGAGAACTCTCAAAAGCCTAGTGAGATGAATAATCGCTTGCTTTCGTTAGTTCTTGGCAGTGCCTAGTTACGCTCTTGAGATATGCCTTGTCAGTCGGTTCTTTGTATAAACAAGACAGATTTTCGGTTTTTACGGATGAAAATCRTGATCAAAAAGGTCTTSTATCTACAAAAGACCAAGGTCTTTTAAATTATGAACCAATAAAAAATCATCAACCTGCTTCGAGTTAACTCTGCATAGTGCAGAACGCCTTCTCTGCTCTCTTACAGACATTTTCGGTAATTCAAGCTTTTCTGGGATTTCAGTTTTAGCTGTTTCTAAAGTATCAATTAGRATTTGAATAGAAGGAGGCTTCGAATCGTTATCTTCATTCGAGATTTGGACGAGAGGCGCAGAGGTTGAACGGCTGAAATCATAATCCTCGGTATCTTCTGAAAGAGCGTTTACAGCAACCGAGCAGGAACGATTTTCGCTTTCTTTCGGTTGCATTAAGGTTTCTGTATCATTCATATTGATGTCAATGTGACACCGGCTTACCGGTCGGCTTGGCTGACTGTTCACTGACAGCAAAGAACCTCGTTTGAGGTCGGTAGGACTCAATAAAAGCATATTTTTTTCATTTGATGGAATTAATCTCGAAGTATTTCGATAAATGGGATTGGTATCTTGAGAAGACTCTGAATTAAATCGCTTAAATTTTGTAAGCCGTTGTGTTCGGTAGTCACTCTCTTGATTGCACTGTTTGCTGCCACTTTGTGGCGTACTAGAAGGTCTTCGAGCTATCAAATGCTGGCTTTTCCTTTTATCTAAAATCGATGGATGRAAATTCCCCTTGTAACTTTGGCCAACAATTTGGAGATTTCCTGTGTTTGYGTTAGTTGTACCGTCTCCGCGCTCTTTATGGAAAAGAGCAGGTTGGCGCCTCAGTAAGCTCCCTGCTTTTCGATATGATAGTTCGTCGTCAAATTTGTCATCGGAAAGGCTTTTACTCATGTGCTTGTAATATTTTCCTGTCGTTGTTCCATTGCTACGTATCGGAGGCAAAACTGAAAATTTGGTGAAAGTARCAGATGGTCGATCCTTTGACTGTTTTTCACTATGTCCCACATTTCGTTTGTTTGTATTATAATTGCTTCCTTCGCTAGTGTTTTCTGTGTCTTCATTGAAATTAATGTCTTCATTTCCCTCATGATTTTCTAATGTGGGCACACTATTTTCAAGTCTGGTGTATTCAATTTTCGGTAGAAAAAGCCTATTTCCTCTGGAATTCTTGTTCGGTGCATCCATATTACCCAGCCGGAGTGATGGTGTGAAGTGACATTTATAGACAGCTAGGCTTCAATATATAATAAGCACGTTCGTCCTGTATATATTCTGCTGAGCTGTTCTTAAGTGTCTTTACCGACAAGTTAGCAGCAGTATTTGATAAAATGATGTGAGTATTTTCTCCACGGAAACTAGCAACAAAAGACTCACCAAGTCGAAGGGAAACTACACGAGAGGTCACTATATACACACCGTAGAAAACTAAATGGATAGTAACAGGTGTTCCTTATATGGAAATCATCTTATTGTAAGACTTTGTGTAACAACGGTTCGCAGTTGCGTACAGCGGATAACGGAACTCTTGGTACCTTCTTAGGTGACAGAAGCTTTTGTATGAAGTTTATTATCTTTGATTACAGTAATCTGTTCGATAACTTCAATATGCTGATTCATAAAAGCAAGATATTTTTTCAGTGTGACAGGATGCATTTTTGGATTGATACAGTACAGGTGCATCACCAATATTAATATTTCACAAATATAAAAGTATATTAAAGTATCATCACTATTGTTATATTATCATCATTCTTATTATTATCATTATCATCATCATCATCATCATCATCATCATCATCATCATTATTCTTATTCTTATTCTTATTCTTATTCTTATTCTTATTCTTATTCTTATTCTTATTCTTATTCTTATTCTTATTCTTATTCTTATTCTTATTCTTATTCTTATTCTTATTCTTATTCTTATTCTTATTCTTATTCTTATTCTTATTCTTATTCTTATTCTTATTCTTATTCTTATTCTTATTATGGGTTATATGGATTGAGGAGAAATAGAGGGTATGATATATTTTACTGTTGTAGATATTTCATTGAACTAGAAAACTCTACAAAGCATTTGTATTATAAACCATTATTTTATTCAGTACACTATCATTGTTTAGAGTGTTATTTATAAAGCCGCATCGGAAACAACAACGAGGAATTTAAGCCTATTACAGAAAGATGTAGCGTGCAAAAGTGCATGCATTTCGTGGGATCATAGTTGTTATAGTTAAAGCCACTTCGCACTTGATAACTGCCTAAGTAATGATTATATTCGACTGCTTATTCATAATTTGACCAGTACCATTTCTTGTCCTTAATCACTTCTAATTATAATCATTATGATTGTTATCGAATTATTACTATTTTTGTCACCTACGTTGAAAATTAATTAAGCCATTCTCTTACCGGAACGAGTGACCGCTGATTTTGCTGACAAGAGACTCAATTGCGCGAAGACCTTTGCAAGAACAAACTGAAAAGTACAAAATTATCGTTGCAATATAGTTACGCAGTTACATTCTCTCTTATTTTTATATAAAAAGTTCCGATTTTTATATAAAGTTTAAGTACAAATGTTCTATTTCTCCATTTCTCGATTATCCAATTTGGCGTGTATCGAAATTTCATAAATGTTTCATGTTTCTTGTCCAAACAAAAGTTGCTTATATTCAGCTTCGTTACGGCAAAAATCAGAAAAATATATCAATTACAAAAATATTTCAACCCTTATCACCCTTGGCGTCAAGGCTGCAACAATGACGTATTTTGTCAGTAAAGACTTGATGATTTGATAAATGTCCTTAGACTGTCGGAAGATGATCATCGAAGATTTTTATGCTCTTACACTTGCAAATGGAAAGAATATTAATGACAATTGACTTTGTTCAATAAGGAATCTTATGACGATGACCATAATATAAATAGAAAATGGCACATTCGAGCTATTTTTGCACGGTTGCGAACGGGAAGCCCCGAATTGGTCATTGTGAGGTGGTCGGATACGGAGCAAAACAGGTTATTCATATCGTTGTAAAGATGGTCGTACTGTTGAGGTGTCCGTTTAATAGAAGTGAAAGTTATTGAAGAACAGAGGGMAGTAGTAAGGTGGACGTTATGATAAGGTGGTCATTATGCATAAATACCACTTGTAATTTCAACATTYATCTACCGCAATAATTGCAATGATTAGACTAAAAATAAAAAAAATAAATTGAATTTTGCGTAGACTCGAGATGCAGAATTATTTTCAGAAAACTACCCCGTCCCGATAGCTCATGAGAGTTTCAACGAATATTTTAGAGAATGCATCAATTTCCGGTAAACATTTCAGTGATTTCCCAATAAACAAGATAGATTTTTTAGGACCCTCTGGCAATATAATGCTAAAAGCTMTAAAAGATCTACATGCAAACTAGATGGCGGTTTTGAATAAGTTGTATGAYGCTTATCAGTGCATGCTATAAAACGCATTTAAATTGGCTGATACGGCGTTATACCAATTATATTTAGGATTATCAGGGAGAATGTAGTCGGTCTTTTTCGCTGCCTACTCATTTATCGGGTTTCATGTCTCTTTTATCTCAACAAGTACGCTGCCAAAAATTACCGTATACACCCTTTTAATAAGTCCCGAGTTCTCCGCACTTGACGTCAAATGTATTCTTTTGAAATTTTTACAGTACAAAAGWAATTCAAAAGAATTAATTTGACGTCAGGTGCGGAGAACACAATACCTCGGGACATTAAAAGGGTGTATAGGAGGAGCCGACGGGTTTATGGGAGAAATACATCTGTTCTTATGTCCCAGTCAGCTGTAAGTCACAACTTGTGGCCAGCAACCTTGTTCCCAGGGCCTTATCCCTTAACTTATCCCTTCGCTTGAGGTCTTTTCCCGCCTGAACCCAAGGGAAGGGATAAGGCCCTGGAAACGACGTTGCTCCAGGCAAAGAATACTTTCTAAGAATTTTTGCCAGGAAATAAAAATTTCCTAACCAAAAAAAAATTAAAAACGTTCTTGACCATAAAAACGTCTTGTAAGCCTTTTTTGAACTATAAAAAGCTTTTGCCAGGAACAAAATTATTTTCAGAAGAAGGAAAGGCGCCACTTGSTTGTAAGATTGTCAACAATGTAGCTCAAAATCCCTTTCCCAGGAAAAAATTCGTACAAAAACGGACTTGCTACAATTTTAGATGTTTTGGAAAGTAACTGCAAGTTTGTGTCGTTTGTTTGTCAGCTTCAATCACTTTATTATTTCTATCACTGAAGTAAAATTTAAATACTGTCAAATAGGAGTTTCAGAGCATCWCCAGAACCATGAGCAACCTGAAAGAATCYGAGTAGGATTGAGTACCACAAAATACCACAGGCATCCCAAAGAAATGGACCGAGAGAACACAAGCGAAGGCTGAACATGCACATACGAATTTAACTGGAAGATTCTGCATGTTCCTGTCAGATAATTTACACACATTTTCTGCTGTAGTATACACACATCCAAATGCTACAAAATCTCCTCTACACTTAAGAGTATTTTAATKAGGAATGAATGAATTACATTGGAATTTCAAGATATATAATTATCTTTAATATTCTAATTGATGTGTGTATAATTAGAAGCAGCATTGCCCTCCTATACACAATTAAACTACAGTCAGGGATAATTTGTGATCACTAAAAGCCACACAATGTAAGCTTGCATGTATGGTTACTATACAGCTAACTTGGRGCCAGTCGTCTTTTGCAACTTTTTTGTGTGTCTCGCAAAGCTTCACTRCTTTGAACTGGAGCAAGTCAGACTTTTTTTGTTAAAATTGTCATTTAAATTTTGGACTTATTGTCTGAGACAGCCTTCCACTGAACATTTATGGTTGTAAAGTAATTTTGATCACTAAAAGGCACAGACATGTAAGTTTGCAGGTATGTTCAGTTTACAGCTGACTTGTCACCAGTTGTGTCTTCYGGCATTCTTGTGGCTTGCAAAACTTTGATGCCTTTTAAACATGTGAGAAAAGTGAGAAYGACTGGGAAAATGTCAGGTGCWACTGCATTTAACACTTCAAATTACCAACAATATTATTTACATTAACTAAACTCTACTAAGAATGTCAAGGTTGAAGKTTGAGGCCACTTATCTCATCCAACACAAGCTTGGGATGAAACTTAAAACCAACACGCCTGGCTGTCACTGGAAAACCATCTATAACATGCYGTGAAATGTTTTCAAATGAATCCAAACTTTTATTTTTTCTGAACTTCACCAAACCACATCCCTGGCTCAATCCTGTTYTTTGGTCCCTTATAACACGAGCCCTGGCTATCTTGCCATAAGGACTAAAGTAGCGTCGCAGTGACTCTTCAGTTGTTTGTGGAGCAAGGTTTTCAAGATACAAAGTTCTATCTCTTGCTCCAGGTTTGTCAGCTTCTGGGAATCTAAAAAGTTTCAGGACACATTCATCAATTTGTTGGTTCTCTATGTCAAGTACATTTTGAACAGCGTCTKTTTTTTGAAATKCAATAATAGCAGAGCAAGATTTTGTATTTGAATTGATCAGCAGATCAATTCTTTCGAGGTCACCAAATGTCTCAAATTGATCCCGGAGTTTCTCAACGGTGATGGTTTCATAAGGTAAGCCATCTACTTTTATCCTCTTGGATTGTRCTGCTTCAGCCTCAACAATGTGATTTGCAGACTCTYTCAACTTRACCTTCACCGTGCAGTCATCAATGACCTGACTTTCCTCTAATGTTGCCTTAGATGCTTCCTCTGTAGTGCTAAATTTAATGAATGCA